GTATCTCAAAAAAACGACTACGCTTACAGTTTTTCATTAACCACTATTATCGTTAGAGCCAACAAACTAACATAAATTACTGAGAGCTAATATATGAACGAAAAGTGTTTACTCAAGAAGGGAGAGTTTTAAACGGTAGGACAGCAGGATTTTTGGAACTTTTATCTTTTCGCTTAATTCTTCGAGAAACGAAAGATAGTATTGATAGATCATGACAATTTTTATTGCAAACAACCGTAATGGAGTTTACTTAATACTTAAGTCAAAAAAGTGAACTTCCATTTTTCTCTCCTGCAAAATTTTCTTTTGTTGTGTCACTTTTCTTGTAGGTGGGCGATATCTTGTCTGTTACTATTAAAAAAATTAATACTTTTATAGTAATTCATTGACCACCATTCTCGCCAGAGCAAACGACCAAACTTAAAATACCGAGAGCCTATATCCAAGATAGTGACACAACTAAAAAAGTGTAGTTTTTAGTGGCAGTACGGCCGAAATTTTAAAACTTTTGTATTTTTCCACAGTTCTTGGTCAAACTAAAGACAACATGATGGATCAAAACAGTTTTTATAGCCAGCAACTGTAATGGCGAAATACTTAATACATAAGTAAAAAAGTAAACTTCCCTCTATCTCGTGTGTGCGATATAAATCTTGAAATGCATGCAACACAAAGGTGAAAAAGATATTAAAAATTGTAAAATTACTATTTAAAACTTTTTTTGTCCCCAAGGTCCATTAACAAGAAAGTTTAGAGAGGTGTCTAATATTTTCGACCTCGGATAACAAAAGGCTTCGTAAAATCTAAGATCCTACGTCCGTACCCTTTTTAATTCAAATGGTTTTTTAAATATTGGTATTATTGGTAATAATAAGTTTTTAATATAGTTAAAATTGATGTTAGAAATTACAGATAACCTTGGAATGCATGTCTTTCCCCTCTGAGGTTCTTTTAAACCACGAGATAGAAAATAAATCATATTTATTAATAAGTCTATAAATAAATATTACATAAAATGCATCAAGGTTTCGGTGCAGGAGAGGAAAAAAATTTTGACTAAAGGAAAAGTAAATATTTTACACCATAATAATATGATGTGTGTGCATAATCAAGTTTTTCCTTCTGTTTGCACGATAGGAGTTTTTATTTTTATTATATAAAATTTGCTTGGTTGTAATCATGAAGCACGTCTTAAAAACCGATTTATTTATCAACCATATCAAATCTGGTTCAGAAAAGAAAGGCCTACAGTTCATCTTACACTAAACACCTTCCTTAGTTTATGCCGGAATTTTCTGTTAAGTATTTTTCCTTAATTGTGTCTTCCATCTTAGTTCAGTGTCAACTATTTGTTGTATGTTGGTTGTATCAATAACTTCTGTTTAATTAAGTGTAACTTTTTTTCAATATTTGATGAACTTCGTGTGCACCAATCATGATGGTTAAGGGTGAAAAGTTATTTTAAATTAAAATAATTGTTAGATACCTTGGGTGCATGATGAATAAACAGTGAAAAATTATATATATTACGTTTCGAAATTGAGTATATCATACAATGTTTTACGTACATTTTTTCTGCTGAAGGTGTTGCAGAAAGTTGGTAAGGTAAATTAGGAAGGCAACCCCTGGCTACTCGGCGTCACCGTAACAATAACACTCGCCGACTCAGCCGTGTGAAAATGATAAAGGACAGACTACAACCGTTGAAGGTGGTAGGAAAAATAATGGGGGGCTGCTCCTCGTGAGAATAATTAAAATAATGAGGTGGACGGTGGGAAGAAGTGGCTGCCAGTTTTTGAGGTCGGGGTTTGTTTCGGAGGCGGGGACGTTGATAAATTTGCATGAGGCTGTCCCATACACGACGCCGCCGTTGCCTCATGATAAATAGCCTATTGTTTATTGTCTCACTCCTCTGCCCCACTCCGTACTTACAGTTTTACACCAGAGGCTCGTCCATGATTTATGCACGGATTGCATGGCGGTAACGTTCTCTCCTACTCCGAGGATTTTAAGTGCTACCCGATACATGCACCCCCGCAACCCGTGTAACAATATTTAATAATAGTATGGTTTAATATCCTCTGTAGCCAAGCAGCCTTTTCACCCCGAGGGAAATCTGGCATCTTGATATATCGTTAGCCATTTTTCATAAGCCCTCATTTCTCTTGCCTTTACTTATGCATTAAAACCTGCCTTTAGTTGATGTTTTCCATTTACATAATGAAACTCCCAAAAGCAACTTTATCAATAATTTTTTTTTACTCGTAACTCAAACAATTGAGATCTAGATAACATCACTATCTACAGGGTGTCTCGTGAACGGATATTTATACGTCAAAATGTTATTCTAAATGTCGAATTGGACTAAAAATATTGTCTAAAGTCTTGATTGTATCCAAGGTATTAGTTTTCAAGTTGCTTCAATTTTTCCCCAATTTATTCAATAAATTTCTCGTATGTAATACAATTTTAATCATATTGAAAATTAAAACAATGGAAAGAGCTATAAAATCTGTTTTTATTATCACCTTAGGCAAACATAATACAGAATTGCTGAGAAGATAAGCTTTTACGAGTTGCTAAAGTGTAAAGTTTAAGTAAGATTTTCCTGGTGGTATAATTCTGACAGATATCGAATACTAATTTTTCCTAATGAACATTAAATACGTTAAATCCATTTCGTCGTCCGATTGACCAAATAACTTCTTTGAATTATGTAAGGTATTGAAAAACTGCATAAAGGAGTGAAAATTCGTAAGACAGGTTGAGATGGAAAGTTGGTGTCCAAGTGGATCGAAGTCACGATAGATCAAGTGGAAGAGCAGCGGTGTATTTAGGCGAAGGTCGTGGGTTCGAATCCCGCTCCTGAACTAACACTAACTTTTCATTTCCACCAATACTTTACATAAAGATTAATTAATTAAACACGTTTTTTATAGTCAGTTGTCAACAATGTAAAATTAACGTTTAAAATGTAAAAATATCGTATTTTGTTTACAAACGGTTTATGAAAAATCAGTCATTACAATTGAAAAGCTTCCATTGAAATAAAACGGAAGTGATATTTAAATAATATGTATAAAATTGAACGTTTGTATAAAACGTATGTATAAAAACAAGCTTCGAAAATTAAATGAAATGTTCAAAATATCAATCTTCTGGAAGAATGAAAGCCTGGCAAATTTTCACATTTAATTTAATCTTTTGAAGCTTTGTAGTTTCAATTTTGTAACAAAGGATTGTATTACATTTGTTATTTTTTATTAAAAATTTCAAAATTATTGACAATTTTTATATCGTTAGACACCAAAAAATGATTTTTACCCAATAAATGTTAATATTACATTGCTGATAAATGACCTTTGAGAAATTAAACACCTGTATTTAATACTCATTAGACGAGGCCATTTTTTGTAAGCGCCATCTCTTTCAGCATTTAAAGAACACAGAAAAACTCACTTAAACTTTGGACAAGATCTTCGGAAACTCGTCAAAGTTTATCATCGTAATGATAATTTTTGCGTAAGTTTACAAACAGAACACAAATGAATCCAGTTTTCATGATTTTTCAATGGCAAAATCTAATTTAAAGTAGGATAAACATGTTATGGGATAGAGTGGATTTTATGGAATAAAGTTGTGAATGCCATTAATTACCTAAAAATTAAATATCTCGTTATAATTGAGTATTGGATTTAAGACAATTTAGACTTTTAATCCAATTTAGGATGAAATCCCTGAAGTATTAAAGTCTGTTTACGAGACAACTTGTATAGAAACATAGTAAATATAAAAGAAAAGTGTTTTTGCTTTAGAATTGGATGCAAAATTTGCAGTTTTTACTCATTCTTTTTTGTGTTAACATTTTGGAATTTAGGGTTCGATCCCCACCGTCGCCTCTGGATTTTTTATGACGCCTAAGGGGACCGGTGGCCGCATATGAAAGAACTTGACACGGCACTCATCAATGGAAGGAGCGGGATCAGATCTCAGGTCCTAACCCCCTTCAAAAATGAGTTTCTTCGATGGAAAAACACCGGCATCTCAAATTCACACTTGTGTTGCGATCCCCCCCCCCAAAAAATGGAGCCAGGGATAAAGTACAATAAGCTGTACAGCTGCTCAGGAGGGAACTCCTCCAGTTTCTGGAATCCATTGTAAAAAAAAAATTTAAAAAAAAAAAATTTCTACAATCTTGCGTTTGTTCCCATCGTCGTTCGTGGAGTTTTCTGAACGCTCCCTTCTCTCTAAAAAATGTGTACAATACAATAACATCAATCTTCTCTGGCCAATATGCAATACATAAAGTCATTAAAAAAAGCTAAATAATTTTTTAGCTATAAAATGTATTTCGTCGGTAAATTGCTATCCTCCACCGGTCCAACAAAACACACATTCTTTCACGTTGTACCTCAGTCCCAATTCAACTTCAATATTTCAAATACGACCCTATTCATCCTCACCCATCATTTTAAAGGATTTTCTACGCTGAAAACAATGGTGCAATCAGATTTTAAATTGAAAACACATGTTCGCAAAAATCCGAATTCCTCTCTTCGCTTTGTTGGAAGTCAAAAAATAAAATTATATATATGTACTACGGACTTACAATTTTAAGCAGTACCCCTCTCATTTTGTCCGGGGATAAATGATCAGCAATCTAATTATGACAGGCTTCTAACGTTCCTTGCATAAACGTCGATTTGGAATGCTAAAGAAAATATCTTTCCATACATTTTATACACTGATGAATCCAAGTTCACCTCTAATAGTATACAGAACCGTTGGAATTTGCAGGAGGAGACTTTCGTACTCATGTCATCACCAGGTGGTTCACAGTATCAAAGTTTGGTATGAGCTTCTTGGTAAAAAAATAATTGGGCTTCATTTTTACGCAAATATTTTAAATAGTGCTCAGTTTCTCAATTTTTTGAGGGAGGTATTACCAACACTATTACATGATGTTCCTCTGCAAAAACGATGAAGAATGAATCTCCATCATGGTGGAAGCTTCGCACATAATTCTAGCAGGTTATTTGAATCATCATTTACGGAATAGGATCTCATGGCCCGATCTCGCCTCCTCTGTCACCCAATTAACTCCACTTGACGATTTTCTGTGGGGACATTTAAAAAACTGTGTCTACCAATCATAACCCAGCAACTTCAGTTGAAGAACTGCGGCAAAGGATAGAAAATGCTCCCCTGACTCTTTCGATTGAGAACCAGGAAAGAGCGGTTAAAAATAGCAAATCTTTGCACCTTTACGCAAGGCAGTTCAAACATAAAATATTATTAATAAATAGCGAACCAATGAGTGGCTTTTCGAAAACTTTTATCTATGACTTTGTCATTTTTTAACAATTTAAAATCCTATTGCACTATTGTTGTTCGGGTAAAATATTCTTTTAAATGATTTGTCAAGATGTATTGGGTCGTATATAAAATTTTGATGTTCAACTGTTTCTGAGGTACCCTGTATAATTTTTCTCCAAAAAAGGTAAAAATTCGAATTTAGACTAAAATATATTAAACAGCCTTTTTTTTATCGTCATATGACCTTCCGTGGCTTGTCGCAACATCAGCGAGATGATTATGTGAAAATAACAATTTGAACCTCAATTGCAACGGGCAAGATCTATCCCAATCTAAAGCAAATAAAGATTTGTCAGAAATTCGGAGGAGATACAGTCCATATAATTTCCTGTCGTATCATTCAGTTTGTCAACAGGCTACACACAGCGCGGACCACAAAAACTGGATCGTGCTATCTCGACTTGTCAAATGTTGTGCGAGAGATTACTTTCGCCGACATCTGTAAGGAGCATGTAAGGCATGACACCCTTCAATTATGTGTGACACACCAAGCCACATCTCTACGAGTGAAGGCTTTGGCCCATGTGTCGTCTTATTTTCAAGTGGGCGAATACGATCGACAGTTTACGGTTAAAATTATCAGATAACTATCAAGCAGTCATATATTACAATTTACTTTTGTTTATGATAATGTGTTTTATCTAGTAAATTCTTTTAAATCCTGTAACAATTGCTTGTATAATACAAATATTTGACTTTTTTTTTAAGAAAAGAAAGGAAATCATGTCGGAGCTAACAAAATTATAATGCCCGTCAAAGGGCGGATTCAGCCGACGGCGTTCAAAGGAGTTTGGAAATTCACCTCACAAATCAAATACGTGGAGGTTCTTTTCACATGTGACTTGTAAGTTGTTCGGATCCGGGAGAACCCAAGGACGATTGTACCTCGGAAAAGGTGTGAGAATCTACACAAAGGTGCCAACTGAGATGAGATCATTCGTATGCATTAGACTTACACAAGTGCCGAACCGGTCCACCCCTTGCCGTCGTGACACCCTTGCATATTGATGTTACACAGTAAATATTGTTGTACAATTATTTCGAACGATTAACTTTTAGTTGTTTTACATTTATTCGATTTCCGCCTCGGAGCTTAAACGCCGATTAGGTTGTTGGATTCAAGAAACACTAATACATTTCAGATATCCACCCTTTTATTTTCACTTGATTGTTGAGGCCTCCTTTATTATGAAGAGAATGAAAATTAATGTCATGCTTTGTGGGCTGGAATCCCACTCGTGACATAAATACCTTTCATAAATATTAATTAATTGAAAAAGGTTAATTGGTCAATCGGACCACGAACTGTAATGAAGTTAATGTCAGACATTAATCATTTGGGGCGTGGTGGCCGCAACGGTTTAGGCGTTGACAAGACGCTCGTCACTATAAGGTAAAGGTCCTTGGTTCGAATCCAGTGGACCTGCATTCGAACCGGAGATACTTACAATTGGCCGTTTTTGAAAAACACCCGCACCCTGAGAGTTGATATGACCTCTGCTGTTGGGAACCCTCGTTTGAAAAAGAAAAAAAACTTTAACCATTAAAAGCTCCAGAATAATACAAGGAAGGAAGGTATTACAATCCATAAAAGTGTTTTCAACATTTTACTGAAAAAAAAATACTTAAAAATAAATACATTTTTAAGACTGATGAATATAATCCGCTCTTAGAAATATAATGCAATATGTAAAAGATAAATAAAAAACTAACAGAATGTAAAGTAGAAATTAAATTTGATAAACATGCCCAATAAAAACCATAGGTTTCATAAATTTAACAATGCATTTTTTTACGATTGGAAATGTCTTCACGTTTCGCGTTGAACTGGAGTCACTCGAAATGCAAGAAATGTAGGCAAGATTTACTACTACTTTTATAGTTGTCTTTTATATGTCTTCCGTATTTTTTGTTGGGTAGTTTTTTCATAAATATGTACCACATAATTTTTTATTACTTCCGTTACCAAAACAAATCGTACGTTCCTAGTCTTTTTTAACTGTCCTAATTATTTAATCTCACCTTAAAATTATTTATAGCGAAGCCTGATAAATTTGCAAATGAAGTTTCGTCAAATAGACCAAGTAGTCCGAAAACGATTATAGAAGTCGGATAATCATAATCCGAATTAGATTTTTTCTTAAGTGCGTGGTTTTAGATCGAAAAGATCTCGCCAGAGCAGATGCTTATTTTAATAATTTATTCTACATGCTTCATACAAAATATTGAGTATATTCGGCGTATTGTTCCGAAGGTCGTGGGTTCGAATCCCGCTCGTGAAGCTAACTTTTTCATTTCAACCATTACCTTACATAAAGATTAATTAAATGAAAGAAGTTATTTAGTCAATCGGACCACGAAATATAATGGATTTAATAAGTAAAACGAAGTATATCTTCATTAAAGCTCTCCGTGGCCATTTCATTGGTCGCCGAGAATCGAATCCTGATTACACGACATTTGAAAAATGGCAAAAAGGAGGGAAATTTCAAAACGTGGGTTGCGATGGGGAGTTGGCGTCCGATTGGATCGAAGTCACGAGAGCTCAAGTGGTTAGAACAACGGCGTATTGAGCCGATGGTCGTAGGTTCGAGTCCCCCATGTGACACTAACATTTTCATTTCACCCAATACCTTACAGAAAGATTAATTTATAGATTGAAAGAAACATTTTGTCAATCGGACCACGAAATATAATTGAATCGTAATATTCTTTCTTCATGAAGTCCTTCTCATCTTGCAGTAGGCACTTCCGTATCCAAACACTACGCACTTGTTCTATTAGTGGGCACTCATATACTAGAGGTTTTATGCTTGGTGCAAATTGAGAAATTTGACGTGCAGGAGCATGATGAGGAGTTGTTTGGGCCGTGTTCAGTTAAGATGCTGGTTAGTGGTGCAATTTGGCAAAGAAATTTTTGTCTGCCTTCCATTAGTTGTACTTAACCAAATATTTTCCCATTCTTCTAGACTCTTTTCGAAAAGCTTATTTATAATTGATGACTTATAAATATGCCAAATTTAAGCTCTCGTCAGTAGATGCTAATTTTGCCAGTCTGACAGCTTCTTCATTTCGTCTATTCCGCAATGAGCCTTAACCCAGCCTTCTAGTACATTAACATTCTGTTTCACTAGAGTTTTGAATAGTTTTCCTTATTTGCTCAGGCAAAATACCATGAACCAGGGGTGATGCTCTGAATTTTATACTGATAGAGTAGATGAGAAAAGTAAAGGGTGTTTTAAGTGTGAATATTAGTTGCCGGCGTATTGTAAAAAATCTAGTACGATAATAAATTAAAAATACTGTGTAGATAATATGTCCAATTGAAGAAAACAAGGTGTAGGGGATGAAACACGTGTTGGCTAGTAGACAGCAGGGAAATGGATAAAAAAAGGGTGAGGAAAAAAAGGCCCGGAGGGAAATTTTGTAATTGCTAATCGGTCTAGATATCTCGGAACGGTTATTACATATAATAGTAGGAACCTCGGTTATAATACATTTAATATTTATGAACGGCCGTCATTGAGGCTAGACCTGAGCCTGAATGCATTACCATGATAAGACCGAGTCCAAAACGACCCGGACGTCTTGATGCGAGCTCACCCCGGCTTGAATAATAAAATATTGTCTCCCGACATCGGTGTTTCATTCGATTTAATTGACGATATTTTATACGGAAGGGGCTGAACGGTTGGTGGAATTCATCAAAAGGGCTCCGTTTTGTGAAGTAAGATCCGACAGGGTTAGAAGAACCGAAAAGTCAAAAGTTATTATGCTTTCCCTGGCATGCCTGTTGTTTTCGTTGAAAACTGTTGTGCTAAAAGGAATATAAAGTTTAAGAGGAAACGTATTTCTGGCAATTTCTAAGTCCCCTTGCAAAGAACGTCCAAAGTCACTCATCAAGCCTAGACTTTTATGAATTGCAATTACTAATAACAATACAATGTAAAACGGCTTTGATAAATACAACTACATTTCGTATTTAATTAACATTTCAATCAACAGTTTGAAAAAAAAAAGATAATAGCAAACCTACATAAGAAAAGCTACTTTTTCTTCAAATAATTTTTAAAGCCCAAATACTATAACGTCAAAAAGAAAAAGCCATAAGCATTTCCTTGTACCATCACTTTTTTTTCAACTTCTCGGCGTTTTATGGCCTCTTTTTGTAAACATGTATTACTTTTGAACCAATTTTCCGAAAGTGAATCTTTCAGAGCTTTATTTCCTTTAAGGTTATTGTTCCTTATCAATGATCTTTAATGTTTAGAACGAGTAAATAGGTCAGAAGTGGATGGGTGGGTGTGATGTTCTACGCTTTATTCTGATCAGTTCATCAATCAGTTCTACCCAACATCACCGGGTCTGGCGCGGTTCAAACAGGTCTCTGGTAGGCCTATTGACATTCTGCACTTTCAGTCAAAACGTAATATTACTGGAAATGCACGTTTATTTCGGATAAGTTTCCAGCGTTTAATGATATCTGTAGCCGTCTCATCTAAATAAAAAAATAAGTATTTATCGTTGACCTAGTTAAATGTTATTTGCATTAAACCAAATATATTTTAATTATAGCTTTCTGACCGTATTTTTTATACCCCTTCACTAATTCAAAAAACGAACCAAATTTTAACGATATGTCGAACATGAATAGGTAAATTTTTTTCCCTAACTGGGGCTTCCGACATCTAGGTCATTGAAGCCCCCAACTATATTCTATTTACACTTTCAAACATCATCATTCATACAAATAAATACATCCATTCACCACACCCATTCCGTTTGGTCGGTGGAGTACTTGATATTCCTCCACCGACCTATACTCAATCTAACCTAGATTGGGGTCGATGGGGTACTTTTATAAATATTCCGCCATCGACCCCGAACACACACTCATACGCTCTCAACGTTCGAGGGGCGATGATGACGTTATATTTCACCCTCACCCCTCGCCATTCACGCTAATAAATACATGCACTCAGACAAAACATATGGACACACAATACATAAGACATTATGTACGATAAAAAACCCAATTTCCCTAAAAAGCGGAAAAGGGGACTCTGAAACTCGCTGCAGTGCTGGAGTACCATCTTCAGATTGGATGGCATGCCTACACGCTCCCTGTAGTGAGTCAAGGCATGACATGTTTCCCCTACATGGGACACATCGAGCAACCTTTTTCTGTATAAGGGGCACCTGCGCGGGCTTTGGGTCAAGAGCAGGTGCTTGTGTGTCAACCGCGTATGGCCTATTCTTAATCGCGTTAGGACGATTCCTTGTTTCCGGCTCAGGTTCTCGGGGGGCTATCAACGAATCGAAAAGCTTCTCGGACGACCCGCCCCACTGACGCTGCCATCTTTCTTTTATCATGTTCTTTACTGCTGCTTGGCGTCAGAGGGCCTGGTCGCGATGGTCTGGTCTGGAGGGTGGCCCTGGCTTTTCTCACTTTCAAAATTATTAAAATTCAGAAATAAACCTTTTTCAACATGCTACAAAGTTATAGTGAAACCATTATTGAAAAGAGAGATGAATGCTTTGTTTTGTGCCTTGGTTTCACTGTTATTACATTTTATCAATAAAAATGACTATCTCGTAAAGTATAGAATTGTGTGGGAAAGGCTGATTAAAGCTTTGAATAAAATGAAAAATTAAAATTTAACTACTTTCAATATCTACCTTAGAAATGCTTGATAATGAAATCAGGCGGCTTTATATAAGCTTTATAAACATGCGTTAGTAGTCAACATTTACGAATGTGCATTGCAATATATTTTCTTTAAAAATTTTTATATTTTACATGTTTGATTTTCTAGAGAAAACAATACTGATATTGAACGATAG